AGCCTAAGCCTAAGCTGAGTCCAAGTCTAGGTCTAAGAGCTTTTGTTTTCAGGCCAGTGTTACTTTCCATGGAAAGAAGAACTACTGAAAGGTGACTACAAATACTGCAAGACTAGAAGAACAGCTCACAACAGCTTGCAGCCCACACTGGAGCTGTGAGTCTTCCGAGGATTCCCAAGAGTTGTTTTTAGCACAGCGGTGGAATTTAAAGATTATGGCATAGTTAATCGCAGAGACTTGGTGTATTTGGTTCGAAGTGTGCCATAGCACAATGCAGACAGGTTGCTTCAGTCGTTTTCCAGCTGGGCTTTTCAGCTTCACTAAATTTAGTCTAAACTTGCACGGTTTTGGAGCAAGACCACTTCTGGTATGTGACCTAGCCTCTTTGTAGCTCCTTTTTCTGTCTCTATGCTGTAGATACAAACCTAAGCAGTGGAAGAGATCTATTTCTGTGAATATATTTCTGTTCATACATACATACACATATATAACAATGTGTGTGCGTGCTTGCGTATATATCTTTTTCCTTTTTTCTTGTCTTCTTAAAGAAGAAATGCCACTTTTATTTTCATTCTTTAAAGTAATTGTAGGCCAACATCATAGTTCAGAATGGAAAAAAAATCAGAATAGAAATTACCTCAGTGCTATCACTGAGGTTATAACAGGAAAAAAATATATCATAAAATGTAACAACTTTTTTTTTTCCTATTGAATATCTAAGCTTGTACGGTAGGATCCTACCATTATTGGTGTGATACTCACATCATTATCCAGCCCAGTAAATGTAAATGTAAATTCAGTAAATATAAAGATTCCTGGTGCTCCAGTTTTTTAAAGTGTAAGTAACCATAGATGTTTTACAGAAGTGAACCAAGCAAAATCAAACTACCATAAAGTTCATGTGTGGCACTAATTGCAATTTAAGTGCATGGTTATTACAAGAGATTTTAATTAACCCAGTCATCATACTGTGGCATACAAATTGTGCATAATAACGGCATGCTGAGTATAATGACAATAGGTTTGTCTGAATTGTGGAAATTAGGAGTTTTGTCATTTTCTGAAGATTCCCTTTATGCCCCTAAACATTGAGTAGCATTTTTTTAAGAACAGCCAGGAAAATACATATTTTTCAAAAAATAGTATGTTTCTTAGGCTCATCTGTTTTAAAATTTTACAGTCGTCCCTAAGTCTTTCTGAAATCTAACTCGCTCCTATACATTTTTGGGGGATGATTTTTCAGTCTCTTTTTTTTCAGGGAATTTTCATTCCCCTAAATAAATTATTTTACACTCTCTTTTAGGGTTTTTTATGTGAGGCCAATAAAAACACTCTGTTTGTGACAACGTTCAGTGGGAATACCCTTTCAGGGTAATTGGAGAAGAGCAAGAATACATTATGATCAGCTCTTACAGCAAAATGATCATTTGTCAGCTCATGGCCCTAGTGAGAGCACTCTCCTTCTCTCAAAGTCTGTGTCTCTGAAGACTGACTCTGATAGCACAGACTGAATTTTTACTAGAGATTTGCAGCCCAAAGGCTAAAAATAAAGAAACAATGTGCCTAATGAATGTTATAGTCCTTATGAAAACATTGGAGGTTCAGCTAAGCAGCATTAAATTTACATTGCTCATTCCCAGAGACCAACATCGTGCACCAGAAGAGCAGAAGCTTTTAGGGAAAAGTGTATTTGTCTCTTTTTTTTTTTTTTTTTGAATACAATGAGCTCTGTATTGGAAAATAAGACATTTTGCCTTAATACTATTTTGCTCTCAGGCAGAGCAGGCAGCTGAAGCGAAGAGTGTACAAATTTTTTATATGTCCAACAGTTTAATGGCAAAACTGGGTGACAGTGAAGACTGAGCCGGTCAGGAAGGTCTTTAACATGCATATGTGCTTAATGATTTAAACATGACATAAATGTGACAGTCAACAGTGAGTAGTTGAAAGATGGAACAAAAGATGATGTATCAAAACATAATAATAAGAAGTAACGCCAGTCCAGCAGACAGTGTCCCAGGACTTAAGTGTCCCATCTCTTTTCTCAGGATAAGACAGTAGAGAAAGCACAGAGATGGACACATTGTCAGAATGCTTGCTGGTGTGTGCTGGAGTAGCTCACCCTGCAGAAAGCTTCTGAAGAGGAAAGTGACTGTGCTCAAGGCTAGTGAGCTTACTTTCAGCTGTGAGAGCTTAAAGTTCTCACCTATTATTAACATATCACATCCCGCATGTATCATCTCACATGTATCTTGAATACAACTTGGTCCTCGGCCATATGACTGCTATCAGGTACTTCGTTATGGGAATGCAGAAATGTACCATGCAGAATGGTGCTCTACAAACATTTTTTCAATAGCTCTGCTTTAAAATTTTTCTATAGATAACTTTTGAAATTAATTTAAAAAAATCATAAAACAATAATGACCAGATTCCTGTGGTACTTATGCACATAAAAAATATCTAGTATTATGCTTAAAGAAAAAAAAAATTGAAACAAAACTTTTCTTCAAAAAATGTCAGTGAATGCAAAATTCCAAAAATTACATAGTGCCTTTCCTGAGAACTTCACTGAAAGAAAATGAACAGAGAAAAAATGCATTACACAGTGATTCTGAAAGTCCAAACCACTGTGTCTATAAAATTTATGGATTTTCTTTAATTATTTTCTCCTTCTACTATAGTGGAATATACTGAGATTTTTTCATAAATTCAAGAAGTATAGGTAACTGTCAATACTATTGCCGGTACTGTTGCCTTCGTATTAGGTCTCATTTTTTTTTTTCAATTTTTCTTAACTGGAACCAAATCTCTGTCTTCTCTTTGCTCTCTCTCTCTCTTTTCTTTTTTTTTTTTTCTTCTTATTTCTTCTCCTGACCCAAAGGACTGCTACTCATCTGCTTAGGGCAGAGTCAGAGTATTAGCTAGTGAAGTATTTATATTATTTTACTCCATCTTTCAGTCTCTGATCCTTCAGTCAGTCTCTGAGAGTGCTTGGACAAGGCACATAAGCCTTTACAATCTACACAACTCCCCCGTGTCTGCCATGGGACAAAAATCCTCCTTCTCAAACATCTGGATCTGACAGTCACAGTCTGTCAAACCCTTATATTTAATCCTGACGAGGCAAAAACTAAACTTCCTCTAGCAAGTCTGAATAGAGGCAGCCGTCAGTTGCTGCTTCCTTGTCATTAAAGCTGATTATATGTGTAATACCCTCAGTGCCACCTCAGGGAACAATATGAGCATAGTGAGACAAGTAAAAGTAAAAGAAAGAAAAACCTTTTCTTTTTTCCCTGTGGAAAATTAGGATCATATGGGTACAGAATGGCTAAAAGGATGGATTATTTAAGAGATGAAATGATGAAATATAGCACTTAATTAACAAGTTTGCACAAGAACAGGTGAAACCTAGAAAGAGTGCGGAGAGTTTTAGGGGAAGAATGGGAGTCCAGTTAAGTTAATGAAGAATGTGGACTAATGTGTTCTGAAGGAGATCTAGCAGTGGAAGTCCTTAAAGGTCATTAGCCTTTTAAGGGTCATTAGCAATTACCTTTCATGGAAGTTTATACACCTTATTTTTAAGGAGATTCTAAGTATGATTTAGACACCTGTGAGTATATTTAGACTTGTGAATCACAAATTCATGTGACTCTTCAGTTCATGCAATTTGTTCTGTATAAACTAAAACTGCTGATCCTGTGGCCTAAGTGAGTATACTCAACAAGTCTTTGGTTATCACCACTGTCATGCATACCACCATCACCAAAAGCATCAAAATTGTATATATTATTTTATCTTAAGTTTGAAATGTGTTTCTGAGCTGACAAATAGATTTTTAGGTATACTCTCTTAAGACTTTACTGTGAGTGATGATAAGCTGAAACCAGCTTTCTCTGTTCTTGCATGTGAGGACATAAAAAGCGACAGGAAACAATAATCCTTGTTGCATAATACACACCCTTTCCTCTTCTTTGTGGGAACATTTTGAATATGCTTCTGCTTCAAAAATAAGCCTTGGAGCCAAAAGTGCTCTTCTCTTCCCTTTCCCTTTAAGAAGGTTGACTGCATGTTGCAACCAAGTTTTAATAATTCACATACATATTAGTTTTTCAATAGTGCACGTGTACTAGCTAATAGAAGATATATGCCATTCATCCTGCTTAATATTTGGTTAGACATGATACTTAGCCTGAAGATACTCTCTCGCTTTAATTAATTTTTTTCAATGACGAGGAAGAATAATGAGCTATGATCATGAATTGATATTGTCTATAGTACAAAATGTGATAACGAGCATTTTGTGAAGAAGGAAGTGGGAGCTCATGTGGATGGGAGCTCTATTGATACTGAGATTAGAAAGCCAGACATGTAAAATCCATTTGTATTTTCAACATCTGTGGTCTGAATCATTAAACTTATAGCGTGGATCATTACATTTACGTCTTGCAAAGTTGCAATGCAAGTTTCTACCATGCTAGGTGTTCACTCTGTGCTCTGGGCAACTATGCTGAATATGCCATAATAATTCATCAACTCTGAAAGAAATCACAAAGTTTGATGCATATTAAAAATGTGTTTGAGGTACATTACAGAAAAATGGAAATAAGATGTTGTTCATAACAGTTCATGATCTCTGAGGTTGCTGTTATTATCTGCATAATAATACAATTTCCTGATAGGAAGAAATCATAATTAAATCAATAAATAATAATCAATGAATCATCAATAAAATACATGTGGTAACTTCCACACTCTGCTTTCCTTTAAAAGCAGGAGGTGTTTTTGTTTGTTTCTTCTATATAAAGACTAATTATGTGTTTAATGCATTCATTGTGGACATCAGTGTTGACAAGCATCATACTTAATGAACCTTCTTTTAGCTAATCTTCAAGGTATGTCCACAGCCTTCCTTTCCTACGAAAGAGCACTTAAACTGAATTGAGAATGATTTTTATTTGAGTATGTTCCTTCCCTCTTATGTCTTGTTTTTCTTTTAGGTGAACAAGATATGTGGTCCTCCTGTAAGAAAGCCCATGCAGTCACTAGGTTGCTCCTTTGATCAGAACAAAGATAATCAAGGGTTGAAGATGTTCTCAAGAGACAGTGAAGAAACCCTTGCCAACAGAAGAAAGTAAGACATTAGTTTTACAGCCAGAAAGAAAGAATAAAGTAAGCCATTAATTTTACAACAGAATAGATTATATTCAATGCAATGGCATGCATTAGTGGAGAATAAATAGAGACTGAAAGGAATAAAGCATTTCAACAACAAATTCTGTTCTATTACATTTATGAAAGACTTGTTTTATGACCAGATTAAATTTTCTGAAATAATGGACACACAGGCAAGGTCATTTAGTGTGGCTTAAAAGAGTGAATAATGTTGCTAAAATATGAAAGTTAGCTGTATCTTTGTATGTTAGTCTTTGGATTATACTTAATCAGCACATCACTGGGCGTTATTAAATCTATCAGGATTTGATTGCCACTGTTACAAGAAAACTATTTGTACAAATTGATCAGATATAAAAGAGTGAATTTTTTTTCTTATCTACTCACCTTTTTTTGTTGTGAAAAATAAAATAATTTTAGGGCTAAATCTTGAAATCCTTCTTCAAGCAAGTCATTTTGTTTTTTTTCACTGTTTCTCCTGCCAGTATATGTTTAATTCATGTGGCAGCAAAGATTTGGGGATTTGATTTAAACCTGGTATCACAAGGTAACATTTGCCTAAAGCTGTAGATGTCTGCATATGATCTGTGTGTTTAAGCTGTCTCGTAGTCAATGGAGAGGAGGACTCGGTGCAGATGCCCACTTAGAAACAAGCATTTAGAGCCTTGGGGACATGGCCTAGTGACCTCAGCTGATCCGCTGCTGCCAGGAAGGATCCATATGCCCTGTGAGTTGTGTGATGTGTGCTTCAGCACTGTGCTCCTGGGTACCTGAGAGCATCTCAAAGAGCACCAGATATCTAGGTTTAGGCAAGTGAATCACATTTTTAATGTCTATAGAAGTAAGGATGGTGTTACAGTTGAAACTAAAGGCTCTTATTATTATTTGCTAAAATGCAAAGAGGATCTCTCTATCCTCTTTTTCCTTTCAATTCAGTTTGTAACACAGAAGAAAACAGAAATGAGACAATTGCAGGGAATAATTGCTCAGCACTGCTTTGAGGAGAAATAAAGAGTGCCAGGCAAATCTAGCTAGTGCAAGGTCCTTCAGAAAAAAAAGAAAAATAAAGCAGGGTTTAGAGGAGCACAGGATGGAAACAGATGCAAAGCAAGAGTCTGTTTTAGCCAGCACAGAAGCTCATCAGGTAATAGCCATTAAACAGACATATTTTCCTCTATACATTTTGTGTAAGTAATGTCTTGATGTCCTCCTCTTGCTAAGACTTTGCAAATACAGAACTGTATTCTAAAACCTCACTTAATCATGATTCCAAGTGAGTGGTGCACAGATTGACCTCATCAGTGCTCAGAAACCTCAGGAAACCTGGCAGCTGGTGACAGCACAAAGCAGCTATTGTCCCTTGGCCTGCAGAGCTGGGACCACCTTATGGCGTGTGGCAAGCCCTACACCGAAGGGATGAGGAGAAGAAGACTTTGAGATCCCCTGATGTGGCAAGCCCTACACCGAAGGAGAAGGGAGGAGAAGAAGACTTTGAGATCCCCTGTCACAGATTTCACTTTCACAGCTTCATTGTTCACACCATCTTCGTGTTCATTACCCCCTGGATCACCCCTTTTCCTTTTAGCCACAATCGCTTTCTACTCCCCTTGCCATTCCCATGGCAACCGTAACAGTTCCTCAGATGGAAGAGTAACTTCAAGAAATGGTTATAGGCCACTTTTAAGGAAGTGCTAATCTTAGAATGAAACTCCACTTTATTTACCGCCTGTGGACTTTTGGCAGCAGCTGGTTCTTGGCAAACTATCATGAGCTAAAGCAAGAGAGAGGAGGCTTCTCCCAAATTGTGTAGGACTTGATCAATGGCAGTTATCCTCAAAAGGCATTACATATCTGACTCTAAGAGTTCCATAATTTCCTGATTTTTTTCAGATGTATCTCTAGTTGAAATCTTACAGTTTAAAGTACATGTTGGACTACCTCTGCCTAAATGGTTTAAATAACACCACCCTAGGCTGGTGCTTTCTAGTGCCACATGGCAAAAGAAGAAAAGGAAAGGTCGCAGTGCTTTTGAAGCTAAAATTTGTGAGATGAATTTTAGGAAGTGCTGGCTAGAACTGATATAATAGTATACAATCTTAAAAAAAAACTCTGTGTATTTCCTCCAGAACTGAACATTGTAGAAAGATTTTAGCAAGTAGAATAAAATTGTAAAAAGTGAACATTGCTAAAAACATAGATAAGAAATATCTGTAGGTTTTGCTGACTATAATTGCACGTTTGTGTTCAGCTGCATATAATTATATGCTGTCTGGTCTAGAAGATGATGATGTGAAAATTGACATTCAAACCATCTGCCCTTCTAACTACTTTGGTCGGATATCTACAGGGGTTGAAATCAGTTATTACTTCTATATTAACTTCTGCTTTGCCTCAGGATATATTTGCTAATAAACTGAATGTCTGACCTTTCTGTTATAATGTAGTTTGTCACAAGATATTACAGGATCAGTATTTGTTTCCATTTCTATATTATACACAGATTGACTGCACAAAAGAAGAATTTCCTACTATTTGCTATGAGAAGAGCCTCTAATCACCAGTTTTCATTCACTATGTGAACCTAAAGGATACCAGGCACAGTCAAAATAAAATCAGTCCCACTTGATGGGAAATGGAGGAAAATTGTAAATATACTCTTCACACTGGATGCAATTTGCAATGGAAAAATACAGTACTCATGGCTGGAAGATGCAGATGTATCATAGTCACATATTTAAAATATATTGTACATACTCAATATATGATCATACTTGAGATTTTCAGAACGATACTTTTAGAACTAGTAGAGCATCCATATCACATTTAATAGCATTTAATCTCAATCACTGGGCTTTGTGTAAAAATATTTGCTCTAGAACAGCAAGAAAGCATGTGTGTATTTTAAATAACAGACTGTATATAGTTACTCAAATTTTTCTATTCTTATTTCAAGTCAACAATACTTAATTTAATTTCTTATGCCACGCCTGACAAATGTTATCTAAGTACCGGGAAACGGATAGAACATTTGTAGCATATTTTTTCCAGTTCCAGACATTAGACAAGAATTTAAGATAATGTGAAGCTTTCTGACTTACAAAGCAATGAGTACACCATTTGATTATGTCTTTCTTCTTTGTGCCTGTGGGTAATAGATAACTTAGTATAATGTGATGTTTTAGACTAAAATAAATAAATATTTATATTTATATAGATAGAATATCATTATGAGACTAGCTTCCCAAACTATTTTATAAAACATAAATATCACAGTCCAGTTACAAACATACTAACTGAAAAGGCAGTCATTTCTTTTGATTTATATAAATATAAAAGCTTATCATTACCTTTGGGCACCTTGAGAATTCTTCAAGAAAGCAACATATAAATAAAAGCATACCAGCAGCACATGATAAAATTGATGTCATTTTTTCAGATGATAATTTACATGTCCATTAAGTATTTGATATCTACACCTTCAAACATCCTACCTAAATCTTGAATTATTCCGGAGCTTAAAAAAATATTCTTTTTAGCATTTGTAACACTTTGTAGGAATGTAGTTAATAGTCCATTTGTAAAACAGACAACTTCTTATTCTTATACCTAATTACTGGTATGTGAAGCCTATTAATTGCCATGCTTTACAGGTTGTGGAGTCTCCTTCTCTGGAGATCTTCCAAACTCGCCTGGATGCCACCCAGTGCCACGTGCTCTGGGTGTCCCTGTTCGAGCAGGGGGATTGAACTAGGTGACCTCTAGAGATCCCTTCCAACCTCAACCATTCTGTGATTCTGTGTGATTTGAAATACTGGCATATTTGTACAAAAGTAGCATTGCAAACTATCAAAACTAAGCAAGAAAACTTTAGGGTGGAGAAAATAATATGAGTTTTTTTTTTTTTTTCCGAGCTCGACCGGGGACAGTGTCAGATTTTTAAACTCCTGAAATATATGTAAGAGAACCAAGCTTATCTAAAAGGAAAATTCACAAATCGATGACTAAAATCATTGGAATCGATAGCAAATATTAAAATCAGCACATTCTTTACCTTCTTGTAGCAATGCATGGCAGCTGTACTGCTTACTGTTATTGATTGACACTGTCAATTATTTTCCATGTTCCTCTGTGCAGAGCATTTATTGGCCACCTCCGTCTCTACAGAGCTTTCTATGGTGGCCTGGCTGATCAGCTGTGTGCTAATGAGTTAGCGGCCTCCGATGGACTACCGTGCTGGAATGGAGAAGATGTTGTAAGAAGGTACCTTTTTCAGTCCTGTTTATTTTTCTTTCTTGTGTTGTTTCTTTAAAAATGACTTTACCTATAAGCAGTACAAAAATAAATCTTTATATATCTCCCTTCTGAGAGATATATTCCTTCTCTAAATTTATGAAGTTTAATCATGCATTAGTTAAGGAAAAAAAGCAGTTTTGACATTTACAAAATAGAGATGGGAAAAGAGGATATGTTTTTGTTGTTGTTGTTTGAATTTGGTATTCATAAAATGCTCCTTTCAATACAGCTTTGTGTGATAACAAACTTCAGCTTGTTGCTTGAAACTTTCTCTAGCTTTGAAGAGTGAACTAATCTCTTAAAATATATGGTTTCTCAGGGGATGGCTAAAAGTTAAAACATGAAGATAAACTGCTTCAAAGGTGAAACAAATGTGTTTTATGTATGCAGTGGCTTGGGAACCATCATTCAGTAGCAGTGGCAGAGATGTGATTATAAACTGCCATGCTCCTGGATGTGTATCTCTGGAATCAATATACTTCATGGTTTACAAGACACCAGCATTTCTTGATGTCAGAAAGACTTTTAGAGAGATTTTCAGATCTGTATTTTCTGCTTTATTGTTCTTATCATCAAAGCAAGTATTTGAACAGGAAGGCCTTTTGATGAGAGAGACTGAAATATTGAGGATCATTTTAATTATTTCTTTTTTTTAAGAAGATAATGCTGTTAATACCAAACTTAAGTAGTATTGAAGAAAGTGGCTAAAAACTGTAAGGTGAGCAGGAGATAAGTGATAGAAGGTGAGGTGACAACATACGTCCTCAGGTGTCCCTACATATACTATATAGGAGTTAATTTATTGGTTAATGATATATAAGGAAATTTTAAAAATACCATTCAGTAAACACTTTTAAGCCTGCTTTTCTCTGTCTGCCAGAGCTGCCAATGCTCTGGCAGCACTGAGGCCCAACAAGTGGTTGACTCACTTAATAGAGAAAATGGAAAACTGTTTATTTTAATTTTCCTGGGGAAAAAAGAAAATAAAGATAAATGATATGATGTAGATAGTATAGTATCTAGAGTATAAAGAGCGTTCATTCAAAACCGAGGAGCAGGATACTTTGAGTCACTCTAATTTAGCAACTGTGGCTGAGTCCTGTGGTTATTTCCTACATCCTAGTACCTCTTTTTGCACACAAAATAAGTCTTGGTTCATAATCTCTAGTACCTAGGTGCATATGCTCACGTCTCTTCCCTCCTTCTCTTCATTTTGCTTATTCACTCAGTCCAAATATCCTTTGCTCAATTTTATTCTTTTACATTTGTTCTTTTCAACTTTTAATTGCAGAAAACTTCCTTCCTGCACATGGACTAACATCAGTTACTATTTTACTCTTTAAGAATTGCTAACCTAAGGAAAAATGGGCACATTTCTCTTTTGTGCCTAGGAACCTCTGTGTGCCTGTTCTGAAAGTGAGGCGTGGGTAACACAAGCTTGTGGGACAGGAAGGCATATGTTAGTTGTGTGGTGCTTGGAGGTTTTTCTCAGGTTATGAGAAGTCATAATCAATCACAGAAACACATATACAAATTCTGCAGATTTAAAATCAAGATTACTATGTTTGAGCAATAAAAGCTACTGATCTGCCCTGTTGATTGTGTTGGAAAATCACATGGGAAATGGGTCAAAGGATCAGTCAACTGATCAAGGTATCTTTTTAGTTAAAAAAATGGATTAGATCTAGTTGAGATTTTATCTAAGTTTAGACAGATCTAATTTTTCCAAATGGAAAAGAGATGTAAACAGGAGATGAGTAGCCTCAGAGTTGATTGTGTCTGTGTCCTTGAAAGGACAATCAAGATAACAAGCCTAACTCCTCTGCAGAGTAAACAAATGGAAAGGAACTAGCATTTTACAAAAACCATGATAAACAGTTCAAAATTGTCTCATCAGAACTCAGATTGAACCACTTTTGATCATTTTGTAGTAAAATGTGGCAAATCTGAAGAGTATTCCTAGAAGAATAATGAGATCAAACTAGAATCTAGGAAACTCCATTTACAAAATAAATAAATAAATAAAAACCAAGGGCTGAAGGGCCTGGAATTGCATAACGTAAGAAGAACGACTGATGGAAGAAAAGGGGTAGTAGTCTTCCAAAGTGCAACAGATTGTTGCTATGAGGAAGCATCACCAATCCGTGCCCTTAATGGCTAAAATATATAGTAAATATTCAAGACTGATTAGGGAGAGCTTCCTAGTGGTTAAGACAGTTAAGTAAGTGCAGCAATGGAAAGTTTTGGGGCCTGATATATTTGGAGCTGGAAGATGTTTAAGGGCAGTCAAGGTAAATCACTCACTCTGAGAAAGATCACAGAGATGAACTGAGTGATATCTTAAGATCTTCTCTAGCCCTCTGGTTCCAAATCTAGGATTTTCTAAAGCCTATGTTGCTCAGCCTGTATTGCCATGATTCCAAGATACTGTAGTATCTTAGAAACAAATAATGACCTGAGCAGACATCAGCAAGTTTCTATGTACATCCTGCACAACTGAACCTGCGTACTTCTCTTTTTCACTTTTTTCCCATGTATATAGTGGTATAGTAATAAATAAAAATGCTGGTTAATTCATCTGTGCATTACTCGAGGCCACTGGAATTCCAGGGAAATCTTTATGTTTCAAATCTATTGAAGATAAATGGATTTTGTGGAGTTTGAGATTCTTCACCACCTTTTTTGCTTTCTGTAAAATAGTATGCCCTAGCTGGCTATGGCTGTAATTTTGGGTCTGATATGGGGAACTGCTGAAAGCAATATCATAAGCTACATAAAGCGGGTGCGACTGTAATTTCAGGTCTGACATGCAAGAGACTGCTGAGAGAAATTCCTTGAGCTACATAATGCTGGTGCAGGTGAGCCAGGACCTGAGGAGACTGCTGTTTGCTGTGTCTTTGTTTCAGCTGCAAGCAGCAATAGGCCCTGGAGACAGAAGATAGATACATTAAAAATAATCTTTTCTGATCTTCTTTCTACTTGTCTGGGGATTTTTCTTGAAAGAAGTATTTAACAACAATAATATCATATATCGTATATATCTTATAGACTTTACCATCTTTAATATCAGCTGAAAGGTTATAAAACCTGCATGGGAAAAGGTCAGAAAAAGAGAAAAGCTGTTATTTTTGAAATGAAATATTACGTAATAGTTTATATTTCATATGCTTCATCTTCAGCTGTTCCCGGGGAAAAAAAATTCATTTTGCCTTTCTTTTTTTTTTTTTTACGTACTGACATGGCTTCTCAGACTAGATTTGTTTTGAATGTAGCCTGTTACAAGGTATAGGTTCACATTTTGTTTTATCAATATTAAGATACAAATTTCCAAATTATTGTATTCAGGTGAGATAGATAAGATTTGTTTGAGGAAGGACTTGCAGGAGCAGATCATTCTCCCAAGGTCCACCTCACTGCAGAATGAGTGAAAAGATGTCTTCTGCTTTCATTCCTTCCAGCTATTATGCCCAATAATGTCAGACTACAGTGGCTGAGCATTAAATTAACAAATTAGTTTTAAAGGCATAACTGAATGCCTCAATGAATGACCCAGACTTTAGTATTATAGGATTTATTAGACTCCAAGGAAAAAGAAGAATTTGGCTATGCAAAATCAGAGAATTAGGAAAAGAATCGCATGCAGCAGTTCAGAATTTCAATGGTGTCTTATCATTAAAGCTAAGATTATAAGAACTGTGCAAATAGAATGAAACGTTCTTGTGCATGGACATAATGTGCTTTAACTGACATTTATACAGAGTCGGTAGTCCAAAGCACATGACTAGAATGTGAACAGATATGGATTAAAAATCCACAGAGAAGAGCAGGCTACGTACTCCGCATCTTGAGACCAGTGATTTCACTGAAATAAAAATAGATGTGAGAGAAGGAAATAGTAAAATTGTATGTTGAATGATTCAAAAGTAATGGGTATTATTAAAGACAGCTAAGTTTGGAAGGAAGGGTTTCTTATGAAACATACCAAAAGTATCCAAATTAAGAGAAGTTAAACAGCCTGATTGATTTTAATTGCTGAGCAGGCTGTTAGAAAGTGATTATAATAAGCATCTATCATCAAATAAATGCTTAGCTTTAGTACAGCTCTTAGGCTAGGAAAGGAATGTTTATGTTTTGATTCTTTAATATTTTGGACCAAGAGTACAATCTTGAATCACTTCCCTGCCAACAACAACAACAACAACAACAACAAAGAGAGAGAAATGGTAATATAAGGAGATATAATGAATTCCTGTCCATTTTCTGATTTGAGCTAATCCTGACTTTATAACGAAGCAGAGTTTAAGCTCTCATCAAAGGCACTACTTTCCACCTTTGCAACAGCTTTGCTTGAGCAGTTTAGAAAGAAAAGCCCTTTCTGGCTGTTAGTGCTTTGCCCCAGATGCTGTTGCCAGCAAAGACCAGCAGCAGATGCTTTAAGAGGAACAACCATAAACACATTTCCTCACAATAATCTGTGTCCGGTAATTCGCAAATTAGGAAATTCCTGAGCCCCAACAGCAATCTTTAAAGTCAGTAGTCCTCAAAGGATTTATCTGCCCTGAATGCTCAGACTTCCCTTAAATGCATAAAATTTTAGTACCCATAACATCCTGCAGCGAGCTAACAAGAAGCTTTAAATGTTAGACAAAGATATTTGCAGATTTGCGTTTTGCTAGTAAAATCAAATTTAAATTTCTAAAAAGTTTCTACATATAGATCAAGTTACTTTTCTAGATTTCCTTTTTTTTTTTTTTTTTTTTTTTTGTCTTTTTGGGATAAAATGTAACAATCCACTTTCCAGAGTTTGTTTTGATCTTCCATTACAACAAAAATCAAGTGCATGAAATCTGAAATGCTTCTGTTTTGGACTGCTGTACTTAGAAGAGAGATCACCTGCATATCAGACCTGCAGCTTAATGAAGACTCAGGGCACCTGCACTACAGGAACATTCCCTTCTGGAATGGGG